CACGAAGGCCCAAAGAGGCAAAAATCATTGATTGTCAGTGAGTGTTTGAAGGATGTTGGTATTTGTTTCTTTTCGGCCTTCCAACGGCCCGAGACGGCCCAAGGGCCCCCAAAGATCGCCCCAAGATCGCCCAAGAGGCCTCTAAGATGGCCCGAGAATGGCCCAAGTGGACCCCAAGACGGCCCCAAGACTGCCCAAGAGGCCTTCGAGACGCCACAGATGGCCTCCAAGACGGCCCTGGAGCACCCTAAGAGGGCAGACGGGCCAGGAATGCCCTACCACTGCCTGAGGCCCCCGAAGCGCACACAGGCCCCCAAGAGGCCCAAGGAGGCCCCGAAGATGCCTCCAAGAGGCCTCCAGGAAGCTCCCAGGAGGCCCAAAGAGTGCCCCCAGGGGCTCCCGAGATGCCCCCTCCTCCTCCTCCTCCTCCTCCTACTCCTCCTCCTCCTCCTCCTTCTCCTACTGATCTTCCCCGCCATCCTCCCCTAAGTGTTCCCCGAAGGGTTTCCACAACGGCTGGGGGAACACATGGTCCGATAACTTGGCAGAGCTCCGACAACAACGTTCGGCCACATGGGCGTTTCCAAAAAGGCAGGGGGCGGCGGTGATTCGCCACCGGCGTCTTCGATAACCTCCACGATCATCACAAGCTCTGACTCCTTCTGGCGGTCGGCAGAATGGCATAAGCCACTTTAGTAGAGATAGGAGTAGGATTAAGTCGGGCGTGTCCCCCTGCAGGGTGATTTTCGACGAAATATAAAGTACCCAAAAAATAATGCAAAAATAGTCCAAAACATGATCGACCCACGAACCCGGAAAGGAATATAGAGCTGTAACACATGGCAGCGTTTTCAAAGACACCTAATTGGGTGACGGGCAAATGCAATGCTGAATGTATCGATCTTGATGTACCCTGCCGAGGGCTGTGCTGTGCTGCGCAGTGCTGAATTGCGATGTGCCATGCCGCGAATGTGCTCTATAGCGTCATGGATCGAGTCCTCCTTTGCATCCGAGTCCTGACCGAACTGATTTGGATCTTAAGCTCGAGCTGCCTGAACACATAGTAGCTGCCCCAGAGCTGATGGACAGGGGAGCATGTCAGGAGGACGCGCCGCGAAACGTCTCAAGGGATGCGCCAGGCGACGTGCCAAGGAACATGCCATGGGGTCGCACCGCGGGACGTGCCAAGGGGACGCGCTACGGAACGTGCCAATGGACGGGATGTGCCAGGGGACGCGCCACGGGATGTGCCAGGGAGACTCGCCAAGGGACGCGCCACGGAATGTGCCAAGGAACGTGCTAAGTTGCAATGCTGAGTGTATCGATATTGATGTACCGTGCCGAAATATGTGCGGTGCTGCGCTGTGCTGAGGTGCGATGCGCCATGCCGCGATTGTGCTCTATAGCCTCGTGGATCGAGTCCTCCTTTGCATCCGAGTCCTGACCGAACTGATCTGGATCTTAAGCTCGAGCTGCCTGAACACAGAGTAGCTGCACCAGAGCTAATTGACAGGGGGACATGCCAGGAGGACGCGCCGCGGAACGTCTCAAGGGACGCGCCAAGCGACGTGCCAAGGGACGTGCCATGGGGACGCACCGTGGGACGTGCCAAGGCGTGCTGGGGACAAGCGTTTCGCTCGAGACATCCTGTCAAAATCCAAGGACATCCTGGCGAAACGAACGAATTAGTCGAGACATTCTCAAAATTCCTGCGCGGGGGACGCGGCACGCGCGAGACATCCTCGAAATTCCTGCGAGCGGGACGTCAAAACAAACATTTTGCCTGAGACATCCTCTGAATTCTGTCCCCCCCACGAGGCCCCCGCTCCAGACACCCCCCAATTTTGCAAAACCAGTGTTTCGCTCGAGACATTCTCAACAAATTATGAACATTTTGCAAAACCATCGTCTCGCTCGAAACATCCTCAACCAATTATGAAAGACAAGCATTTCGCTTGAGACATCCTGCCAACATTCAAAGGAATCCTGGCAGAACGAACGAATTAGTCGAGACATCCTCGAAATTCCTGCGCGCGGGACGCCGCACGCGCGAAACATCATCGGAATTCCTGCGCGCGGGGCGCTTTTCCGCGTCGCGGTCGGCTCTGCAAAACCAGCGTTTCGCTCGAGACATCCTCAACAAATTCTGAAAACAAGCGTTTCGCTCGAGACATCCCCAACTCTGCAAAACCAGCGTTTCGCTCGAGACATCCTCAACAAATTATGAAAAACAAGCGTTTCGCTAGGGACATCCTCAATTTTTAATTCGCCGGCCCTACGCGACCTCGTCATTTATCGCAAAAGAAATTCGCCGGCCCTACAGCCGTCAAAACCGAGGGGAAACCAACTAAAAGAGAACCCTGGGCCTATGCCCTTTCCGGGAAATAGTCTGGGAACTACTTTTTGACTATGTTTTGACAATTTTGGGGTATGTTTTGAATATTCCCCTGTAGGGGGACACGCCCGACTTAAGAGTAGGAGGAAGATACCCCTAAAACAGCCCAAAGAGACCCTGGAGTCTGCCCCCGAGGCGCCAGACAGGCGCCCCCCCCCCCCCCCCCCGAGACCCCCATCGGAGGAGGCCCCCAGAGCACGGTGGCGGCCTGGAACCGTCCCTCGCAGCCGGCGGGGAAGCGCCGCAGAGCAAGCAGCTCGGAGCAAGAAATCTCGTGCACCTCGGACCTCCACACGTTAAGGTGCGTGCGGGAGAGCCCTCGAGCACCAAACAGCACGAGCACGGCGAGCGATCGCGCGAGCAGGTTTTCCGTCACACCTGCACCTACTCGCCGACTTGGCCTGACGTCGGAGTCCTGCTCTCTGCCCCCCGACAGGCCAGCCCCGGGTGCCATCCACAACCCTAGCCTAGCGCACCCACGGGGGAGGAAGGAGGAAGGAGGCTGAGGGATGCAGATGGAGCCGGAAAGAAAAATGGGAAGCGCTTGTTTGTGTCAGCATGCTCTACATAAGCACTCCGCGTCAGGGCACTGCGTCAGAGCACTGCGGTCTGCGCGAGGCTCCCGAGCTCTCCCGAAGGTAGCTCTTGGATCCTCGGACAGGCTGCCGTGCAGGAGACGAGAGAGCGCGGAGGAGGGAGGAAGGAAGCCCAGGGAACAAAAACGGGCCAGCCTAAACCATCAGAGGGGTTCACGGGGTCACGGGGGGGGGGAGGAGAATCCTATGGAAGTGTGGATTTCGAGGTTCGAGGTTTTTGGAGGTTCTCGTCGGTTTCAGCAGCTGCGCCTCGCCGAGAGCGCTCCGGGGGTGTCCGGATCGTCCCAAACGGCTGCGGGAGAGCCAAATCATAACCCGAAGACCAGGAGGCAACGACTGGTGGTGGTGAGAAGGAAGCAGAAGGTTCACGCAGATGTCTTGGGTCGGCGCTGACACCCCTCCCCACACCGCCTCCCTGGCAAGCTCCGCGAGCCATGGGGCGGCGCCCAATGCGCCACCAGAGGCGGCGCGAAGGCGGTGTCCAGCGCCGATCCAAGAATGTATGCAAGGCATTGGCATCTGCATAGGTTCACCCCTTCCACGGGGCCCCTTTGTCATCCCGAACCGTTTTCTCCCAGTCTTGACGCGTAAGGCCCCCAGATGAGAGAAAAACTGGACGTCTCCATTTGTTGGAGCTGCCAGACGACTGGGGATGGGAGCGAAGGAAGAGAGGAAAGAGACGAACAGAGGTGAAGGAGTGAGGAATGATGCGCGGAAGGCATACACCACCACCACCATACCTGGCCAGGCCAGAGCCATCCTGGGACCAAGGATAGCGGATAGACCTTGACCAGTAGCCTTACGCCGTCCTAGGTCCTAGGATGGATGGTGGGGGGCGCCTCATGCGTATCAGGCAAGGTCCTCTCAAAATCTGTCCCACGACCCCTCCAAGGGTCCATCCCGGCTAGGTTTTCATCCCAGATGGACTGCCCCGCGGCCCAAGACAGGCCTCCAAAAATCGAAAATGCAAAAACAACAAAACTCGAACATCGTGGTGCACAGTCACAGTCTTGCCGTGGAACCTTGAACAGGGAACGAAGCCACTTTGGGCCCATTGCGACTAAATGCATCCTTGGCTTCTTGCGAAACCGAAAGGGGCCCTGTTCCTAGGTGCCTTCTGCGGGAAAGAAGCGGAAGGAGGATTGACACACCCGAAAAAGGGGACGGGGAAAAACCGAAGATGCCCAACCAACAACGGCCGCTGTTGGGTAAGCGGCGGTTGTCCCAGGTAGACAACGTCCGCGGCGCACCGAGAAGCGAGTCCCGTTCACAATGGTCAGGAACTGCTGTTGGCCTTCATCGCCACTCTTACCGATCCCAGTCCGATCGTACCAAAGCCGCCTCAGAGAGCCGCTGAGGGGCCCAAGATCCAAGCGCGCCAGCCACCGCTGGGAGGACCGCTGCGCAAGGTCCCTCTGGCGAACGGCTCCTTCATAGGAGTACGGCGGGTTCGTGTCGTGACAGCCTGTGCGCTGGCCTCTGACGCCGCGTGGATTGTGTGAAACCCTCGGCGATGGCGGCGCCCCGACGGCGCAGATCGGTCGATAGCGGCCGCTTCCGGGCTGCCGGCGGCGTTCGACCTTGCGCACCCGCGCTGGGGTCGCGGCCGCGTCGGCACGACACGGATCCCCGCCGTGGCCGACAGGGAGCGGCGGCAAGCCTGGGGCGGCGACCCCCCCTTGCGGCGCAACGACACGGGGGCTGGCATAGGGGAGACACCTCGGCCTGGAGTCGGCGACGCATCGCCGAGATAGATCGGAGCTGGGCCCCCGCGATGGGGAATCCGCACGTGCCTGTGTAGGGGGGCTGTCGGGACCCCATCGGCGATCAGTGGGCGATCGGGGGTCGACGCATCCCCTCCAAGCCTTAGGGGGCCACGTGCGAACCCTACCCCTACCCCCCACGATTTCTGAGGGGAGGGGAGGGTTCACTTCGCTCGGGAGCTCCCGAGCGGGGAGCGGCGGCAACCCTGGGGCGGCGCCCACCTCCCCCTCACGGCCGAGCCCCTCCTGCGCCCGCGGCGGCGGTGACGCGGAGCCATCGGCGAGCGGCTCCGCGAGGCGGGCGTCGCCGTCTGAGCTCCAGAAGGCCCTGCACGCAGGGGGGAGGGAGGGAGTTCCTCCTCCTCCTCCTCCTCCTCCTCCTCCTCCTGCTCCTCATCCTCCTCCTCCTCCCCTCCTCCTCCTCCTCCTCCTCCTCCTCCTCCTCCTCCTTATCCTCTTCCTCTTCTTATTGTTCTTAGTAGTCTTATTATTATTAGTATTATTATTCGCATGATTCTTCTTATTGTTGAAAGTATTAATATTATTATCATTCGTACTCGTGTTATGGTTAGTTTTCTTGTTGTTGGTGTTACGATTGGTGTCATTAGTCTTATTAGTATTAGCAGTAGTAGTAGTATCATGATGATTTTAATTGTGGTTAGTCTTAATATTGTTAGTATTAGTATTAGTAATATGAGTACCATTGTTATTATTAGGATTATTATTATTATTATGATTCGTCGTATTAGTGTTATGCTTCTTAGTCTTCTTAGTATGATTTTTTATTCGTATTATTAGTATTACTATTATTATTGTTTCTATTATTAGTATTAGTAGTACTACTAGTATTTTAAGTATTATTAATATGATTATTATTATTGTTAATATTAGTATTATTATTCGTATGCTTCGTCTTACTAGTATGATTCTTATTATTAATCGTGTTATTATTCTTCTGATTCTTATTATTAGGAATTACTATTATTAGTAGTATTACTACTATTATTATTCGTCTTCCTCCTCCTCCTCCTCCGCCTCCTCCTCCTCCCCCTCCTCCTTCTCCTTCTCCTCCTCCTCCACCTCCTCCTCCTCCTCCTCCTCCTCCTCCTCCTCCTCCTCCTCCTCTCCCCTCCTCCTCCTCCTCCTCATCCTCCCCCTCCTCCCCCTCCTCCCCCTCCCCCTCCCCCTGCTCCTCCTCCTCATCATCATCCTCATCCTCATCCTCATCCTCATGTTCATGCTCATGCTCATGCTCATGCTCATCCTCATCATCATCCTCATTATCATCCTCATCATATCATCCTCATCCTCATCGTCATCATCATCATCATCAGCAGCAGCATCAGCAGCAGCAACATCATCATCATAATCGTCATCATCAGCATCATCATCAACATCATCATCATCATCATCATCATCATCATCATCATCATCATCAGCAGCAGCAGCAGCAGCATCAGCATCAGCATCCTAGTCTTCGTCCTCCCCCTCCTCCCCCTCCTCCTCCTCCATCCTCCTCCTCCTCCTCCTCCTCCTCCTCCTCCTCCTCCTCCTCCATTCTCCTCCTATTCATCATCTCAGCTCATCATCAAGCAGCATAATCATCATCGTCATCGTCATCATCATCACATCATCATCATCATCATCATCATCACATCATCAATCAGCATCATCAGCATCAACACTGGCAACACTGGCATCATAATCATCATCAATCACCACCACCACCACCACCATCATCATCATCATCATCATCACATCATCATCATCATCTATCATCATAATCATCATAATCATCATCATCATCTCATCATCATCATCATCCATCATCAACATCATCATCACATGTCATCAATCATCATCAGCATCAGCACAGCATCAGCATCATCATCACCACCACACACCAACCATCATCATCATCATCACGTCATCATCATCATCCATCAACAAGCAGCAGCAGAAACCCATCAGCAATCACCATCAGCATCATCATCATCATCATCATCATCATCATCATCATCATCATCATGCCATCACACATCCATCATCATCATCATCATCATCATCAGCATCACATCATCATCCTCACATCATCATCATCATCCTCCTCCATCCTCCTCCCTCCTCTCCTCCTTCTCCTTCCCTGCTCCTCCTCCTCCTCGCTCCTCCTCCTCCTCCGCCTCCTCCTCTCCTCCGCCTCCCCACCTCCACCTCCTCCTCCTCCTCCTCCTCCTCCTCCTCCTTCCGCTCCACTCCTCCTCCGCCTCTCCTCCTCCTCCGCTCTCCTCCTCACGCGCCTCCTCCGCCCACCCCTCCCGCCCCTCCTCCTCCTCCTCCGCCTCCGCCTCCGCCTCCCCGCCTCCTCCTCCTCCTCCATCCACCTCCTCCTCCACCTCCCTCATCCTCCTCCTCCTCCGCCTCCCTACCCCACTTTTCCCCTGACTCCGCCTCCTCCTCCTCCTCCTGTTTTCGGTGGGACCTCCTCCTCCTCCTCCTCCTCCTCCGCCTCCTCCTCCTCCTCCTGTTTTCGGTGGGACGATCCCTGGTTCCGCTCGGGTGGGGAAGGCGTGTCCTGTTTACGGGGGGCAGCCCTGGAAGGGGCTGGGGCCAGGGCCAGGGCCACGGCCGGGGCCTGGGCCTAGGGCCTGGGGCCTGGGCCTGGAGCCAGGGCCCGGGGCCGGGGCTGGGGATGGCCTGGGGCCAGGGCCTGGGGCAAGAGCCGGGGCCAGAGGGGAAAGGGGAAGGA